GAGTCCAGAGTCGCAATTTCTTCTTCCACGTTTGCGATTCGCGATTTCGTCTTCCCCTTCGGCGAGGGTTCACGGCTTCGGCAAGGCTTCGACAAGCCTTCTTTCGAGGGTTCACGGCTTCACTTTTGTGTTTGCGGCTACACGCCTATCTTTACGGCACCGTTGAAGGACTAGGTAAACTCCTTTTTAACTTTTTAAGATGAATGATTCTACTTGCATGCAATGCGTTACAATAATAAGGAAATACACAGAGATTGAAGAAGATAAGTAATAGCATATGTATAATGCTGAAGCTAATAGGCTACAGGCACTTCCCTCCTCTTGAGGACGAACCGAAATGTGAGAGATAAACAGGCTACAAGCACTTCCCTCCTCTTTGTCAATCAGCATCTTTATAATCAGTTTATATAGTCTGCTGAATATAAATGTGAAAGTAAATCCCTAGTCTTCTTTAAAGTTTAAACGGTAAAAAGGTTGTCAAGCTGATACCTAGAATATTATTTACTTGTTCAGTATATAAACAAGTAAATATGAAATAATGAAAGAGGAATTGTTTGTTTATTTACTTGTCAAGCTGATACCTAAAAGGTTGTCAAGCTAATGAACCAAGCTACACAACAGCAGTACATTGTTTGTTCTCCATGCTTGTTCAATCTCCTTCCTGAGAGTTGTGACTATTTGTAATGTCCTATAATTTTTCTATTGTCTCAGTTCCGATAACTTCATGTTTTTTTATCAAATTACAACCATATTTCTTTGTCATGGAGTGGCCAATCTGATTCTAATAAGAATCATTTTTTTATTTGCATTTGGATTTGATGTTGATTCCTATAAGAATAGGAATTGTTCTCTTCATTGCCGATTTACATTTAATTTACTGTTGCAATTAGTTTCAATCCAGCTCACAAGTTCTCGAGCAGTCTGCTTGTTATTTGCCAAAAAAAATCTTGACTTTGTCTGCTTGTTATTTGCCAAAAAAATTCTTAACATGAGCTTTGTCTGCTTGTCTTTTTTTTAATGTAAAAAGAAAATCAATGTCTTCGGAGAATGGAAAGTGGGAAATTGTTCAAAATGAGGAGCAAGAAGAAGTTTGGACAGATGACAAGAACAAGACAATTTTTCAATGTAATAATGTTGTGCTAGGCTCGAGCTTAATGGGTTGTATAATTCTAATTACTTTTTTGTAATGATGTGATGATATGTGATTTGGTCTAACTTTGAGATGAATGCTCTTTTTCATATTTATCAAGTTTTAATTGTATTTAATTGCATAAAAATTGCACTTGATATTGATCATTTTTTTAAATAAATTTTTTTTAAGAAAGATGATTGCTCATTATATATTGATTTCTTCTACAATTAATTTTTTTTTTTAAAATTAAAGGTTAAAGTTGTGGACATTTTATGATTAGTTAAGTTATTTTTCATAATTTAAAAAAAATTAATTAAGTGTTAGAAAAAATTTCCAAAAAAAATAATAATAAATTTTGATTTACAATTGAAGAATCAAGCCAATCAAACGAGCGCGAGTTCGAGCTTTTCAAACAAGCTCGAGCTTTCGAGTCGATCTAGAGCTTGGCATTTTCTAAACGAGTCGAGCTCGAGCTCAAGTTTGAGCCAATTAAGTGTTAAACGAGTCATGCTTGATAAGGCAGATACTCAACTCGACTCGACTCGCTTACACCCCTAGTCGTCGTTATAACAAATCGGTCCCTTCCTTGCCTCATCTTGTGGAGCCCAATGCTTCCTAATATACTTCTTCATTTATTTCAATCATTTTTCTCTTTCATAAATATTTTTCATCAACATAAAGATGAGATTAATAGTCCAAAATTTTTAAATTTGGTGGTGGTGGTGCGCGACTTTCAAGTGATCCTCCGCAAAGGCTACAACGGTGGCTATTGAGGCAAATTCTACGGGTTGGAGGTCAAGGCAATCGAGAGGATGTTGATGCGACTCGGGGATGCAGGAAGGTGTGATTTGTTCAGAGCTTTAGTTTAAGATTTAGGTAATTTTTAATAAAAATATATATAAATAGGATGAGGTGTATGCCTCATGCCAGCAAAGCGAGCCTCAATCAAGCTGAAGCACAAGCCTCATTAAAAAGGCTAGCGTGAAGCGAACCTCAAGACGGGCCTCATATTGCACAATTTTAAACAATGGCCAATAGGCAACTTCCTTTTTTTCTTCATTTGGCACTAATTTTATCTCCACAGGGAGTTATCTCCTCTCATTTGGGATGAAATCATTGAGAATTGGACCAACATCCAATATCTAAGTGATGGCGCCACCAATTATCCCAAAAGCCCAACCATAAGGGAAATGTCAACCAAGATTTTCTAGCCAATGGGTTTGCCTTAATGTCCATGGCACATACCAATTTCTGTGGTTGAGTATGTGCAATCAATTATGATTCTATCATAAAAACCAAAAGATGATTCATACCCCTCCATCATGAATTATCTCCTTTTTTGGACTTTGGAGAGAGAGATGCTCATGATTCAAATCTACTAGATGAACTATATGCTATTTGATGTAGAATGCAGCATCATGGAGAAGCAGCTTGTTTGTGTGGAGAAGCAATCATGTGATGGAAAATAAAAGGATGTGGCCTATTGTTTTGCTTTGTTCTTTGAGTCCTTCAAAAGATTGATGCTTGTGGACACAGTCCTTCAAATCTCTCAAAAATATGGGAAGCATCACATAGTTCCTAAGGGAATGGAAGAGACCAATTTCATCATGAAAACGGAAACTCTTTTATAGCATTTATCATGCAAGATAATCATACTACATGAGCATGGTTGCTATTTTTAACAGTAACCATTAATCCAAAGGGGAAAACTACTCTAAAATAAATAAGAACACTCTCAATTAATCATGCATGATAATCAAATCTTAACCCAACAATTAATGCTTGACATTTTATGTATAGAGAAATTAAGATAAAACATCAAAATAATAATAATAAAGTATAAGTGGAAAAGGACTTAATGAAAATGACATACTTAAACTATGAATAAGGCTTGAAGATTGTGATTATTATGAGTCACTATTTTCTGGATATCTTGATGTGTTAAGCTTAATAAATTAGATTATTTTTTACGGGCAATTTCTACACAGAAAAATCATCCCCTTCCACAACTTATTCCCAATTAGTGGGAACACAGAAGACGCTTACACTCCAATGTGTTAACTTTATTGTTTTGGATAGATTTTGATGAACTGCAAATACATGGCAAAATTAAAGCTTCCAAGCATAGTCTACTCCCAATAAACAATATAATAGATGATGCAAACATCAAATACATATTAATTAGGTCGTTTACATATGAGATGGGTGCAATTTGGTCAAGTAGCTTTTAAGGATCACTAGGATTGTCTTAGTGGGTACTTCCATCAAGAGTCCTCAAAACATTGAAGGTAATGGATACTTTTGGAAAGCCATCTGTGTGTTGAGCCAGAGTTTAGAACATGAAGGTGGTTAATCATGACACACTTAGAGGATTCTTAAGGTCATTTAAGAGCACCATAATCCAATACGAAATTATGAAAATGTTTTTTGGATATTAAGATATCAGTGGCTATCCCACACCTTTAGACTTAAGTTTATCAGATAAAAAAACTTCTCGCTCTAGTTTATCAAACCCAAATTGAGCTCAACAATTTAATATTGAGTAAAAAAAATCAATCAAGACATGATATCAAACAATTCCATGCTCAAATTCAGAGGCTCAAAGAACTGATATATGGTTAGAAGATCACAATTTAGCAGAGTTAAAAAATAAAAACAAATCATGGAATACTAATAAAACAGGCTGATCACTCATTCAAAGGGAATGGAGAGAACAGGACATATTCATCATCAATACGAATAAAATTAATAATCTACATGATAATGAAAGTGATAGGCAAATCAAGCAGTGACATCATCATACATCTAACAGAACTGCAAACCACAAAAGTTTCTACATAAATTATCAAAATAACAACAATCAACCATGGAAATAACAAAAATGATTCAGGAAAGTCCTCAAAGCATGTATCAAACATTCGTCCCATAGAAACTCCTGTTTTGTAGCAAGGATCTAAATCCCCCGCATCAGACTATATAAATTGGCATACAATTATCCAAAGAACTTCATTAATCAATACCTATGTTGCACCGATACACCTATTTATGAAGGCGTGTTGTATCCGATACACCGATACACGGATACGCCTCCGATACTCCACCGATATGTGTCGGATATGCCAAAGACGTATCCAATTAAATACTATTTAATTTCAAAAGGACACGCGCATCCGATACACGTGTCTGTTGAAAAACAAAAAGAAATCCGAAAAAAAAAAAAAAAGATGCATCGCATTTACTTCCGTAGCTACGAGCAAAGTTCTCTCATTTCTGAGATGGATTTGAGTCTCTTGATGATATGAGAATATTAGAAATTACTAATCTTTCACTTGATGAGCCTGAATTAAAAGCTATGATATTTATTGAAGATGATATAGAAGTTCAAAGGCAAATCACTGAAGAAGCTAATCATATCATTCCTTCTATTGAATAGTTGAAACTTTATGTGCTAGAAAATTTATGTTTATGCTTTTGTTGTTGTACTAGACATTTAATGATTGCTTATATTTTGATATTATAAGCTACAAGGCTACAAATGATGTTGTTGTCATTTTTTTGTAATTTCAAATATTATGCTTTGACTGCTTTCTTAATTTTTATGTATGATTTATAAATTATGATGTCGTGTCCGCGCCGTACCCGTATCCTGTATTTTTAAGAATTGACGTGTCCCGTATCTGTATCTGTATCGTGCCGTATCTGTGTCGTCGTATCCGTATCGGTGCAACATAGATCAATACCGGGGGTAAACAAAAATAAGACAGACAAAATAAAACAAATAAATAATAAAACCATGTGCGCTCCGGCATGAATAGATCTAGCAAAAAGTTTAAAACTGTAGTGGCAAGGGTCGGAGCTTAAGGCGTACGCTGAGCGGGCTCAAGAGGCGGTGAATCCACCCTCTCAGATTCGACGACGATCGGAGCGGCAGGTAACGTAGCCTCTTCTACAGAATCCTCGTCCTCTTTGCTCCAATCGTTCACGTCCTCGCCGTCCAGGAGGGCCGGCGAGTGGACGGCTGTCTCGGCTCTCTCGACCACCTCCATCAGTCACGCCGATTACTAGAGCAAACGAGGGTTTGGCTCTCGCTAGTGAGCGACTAGGGATATTTGGCACTGCTCGCTTGCAAATGAAGGCAAATTATTGAGGGTTTGGCTCCCGCTGGTGAGCGTCTTGGGGCTGTTTGGAAGCGGGATTCGCCGGATTTGTCGTAAATCCTACCAAACGGTTAGGGGCTGTTTGGTATGCGGATTTAGGCCGGATTTGGGCGAAATCCAGCCAAACGGCCTAAAATGCAAAATCAAATCTCACGGTAAATCAAAGCCGCGGTGGACGGAAAATTCCCTCTTTTCGTGGTAAATCCCGGATTTACGAAATCCTTTGGTTCGGCGGATTTACGGGATTTGGTCGAAGAAGCGCGCGAAAGGGAGAAAGTTACCTTCACAGCAAGCGAGCTCCCGTTGTTGCTTCAGATCAAAAAAAATGTCGTAACTTCCGATCCAACAGAACAGAAAGGTAATATCGTCGAAGGAGAAAAGTCGAACGGCGAGGAAGAAGAACTCAGTGAAAAATTATACGCTCGTGCGAAGGAACAAAGCCGAACGAACGAAATAGGAAGGGAAAGTAAAACCTACTTCTAATTGTTGGATATTTTATTTAATATAATTTAAAATAGTAATAATTAAGTGAAATTAATTAAATAATATTTAAATAATTTATAAAATTATTAATATGTCCCGAGCTTTCAGATAAGATATTCAAAACAAAGATTAATCTACTAACATGATGAACTTCTAATTACGTGTATACACATCTGCCCCGAAAGGATAGTCATTTTATCAGAAAAATGTTTCGAATTTTGGGTTTGGATAGATCTTTTACTTCTCAAAGAAGAGGAGCGTTTCATTTTAGTCTTAGTTAAATACTTAGCCATTTTAAAATAATTAATATGATTAAATATGATCTTAAATACTTGAAGCTCTACCCACGCGAACCTGCGAAGCCGAAGAGGGTACCGCACGCTCACGCGAACGACCGCAAAGGAACCGAAGAGCCAGCCCGAGGATTAGACTCATTCCTAATTTCTTAATTAGAAATTAATTTAATTAGCTTAATTAATATAATTTAAAATATAAAAAATTAATTAGGTGATTAATATTGTAAATAATAATTAAATAATTAATTAGTAGTTGAATATTTAAATGCTCAATGAGATCAGTAATAATTAAATCAAAATAAATAGTGCTTAAATAATTAGTTAAATTATTAATATGAGTATTAGTTAAATAGTTTTAAATTTCAAAAAATAATTAACAAATTAATTAGGCCATAGGAATATAATAGATAATTAATAATATAATAAATAATTTGATAATTAACACCTAAATAACTAATTTGATAATTTGTAATAATTAAGCTAGCTCCTACTTATATTATTTATCAATATAATTTATTAAAGGTAATTAAAATTAAATCTAATAAGTAACATATACTTAACATGCAAATTAAATTCAAAACTCATTAAAGCTTCATTTAGAACATTTTTTTGTTGCTTTTTAAAACAACTTTTTAGTACAAAAATTAAAATTTTATACTAGAAGCTGCTTTAAGAAACAACAATAAAGTAGTCCCAAATGAAGCCTAAATTTAACTTTTAAATGAACCAACCAACTTAAAATCTTGGATTACAATGGCAAATAATATCTCAGGATTTAAAATATGTCATACCAAATAGCTTTCAGGATTTAATACCTTCAAAATTTACTAAATCATGATTTACAGGATTTACTAAATCCATTAAAGTTAAATCCTACTTATTGCCAACCAAGCCGTAGTTCAATTTGGCATTACTAGTATGCAAATGAAGAAACTAATATATATATATATATATATATATCACAATTAATTATTGATTGTGGATTTGGGGCTATCTTAATATATATTAAGAAAATTTATCTTAATGTATAATTAAGATTGTTGCATCCTGGAGTATTCGCGGCGATAGAGAAATATATAATTTAACGTCATAGCATTGTACGAAGAATCAGTACACAAGCAGATAATAGAGAGGGTGTAGCGTTCATAAGAGACACCAGAGTTTTAACGTGGAAACCTCTAAAAAGGGGGAAAAACCATAGGGCCTCGCAAGTTTGAATGAATCCACTAGTATTTGCAGTCAATTACAAATGAGGCCCTTCCTTAGGAGAAGGCCTTAGCTCATATAAAGCACATTACATGGTGGGAGTTACATAGACATGTTTGTTTGATCGGCATGACTATAGTCGATAGGATGGAGGTCGGAAAGATCGTAGTTGGCAGGAGACCGGGGCAAGAAAAACCATTGTCCGGCGAGGTAGGTCGGAAGGACCATAATATGCAGGAGACCGAGGTTAGAAAGATCGTTGTAGTAGGGTAGTACTCTGGTGGTCTGGTGTAGCACAAGGCCTTAAGTGGTGATCTGGTGAAGGCGAGGGCCTCAGGTGGTGGTCCGGCGAAGGCGAGGGCCTCAGGTGGTGATCCGGTGAAGGCGAAGGCCTCAGGTGGTGGTCCGGCGAAGGCAAGGGCCTTATGTGGTGGTCCGGCGAAACTCCGACAGTGGTCGAGGAGCTTCTTCCTTCTCTTATTGATTGGATCCCCCCTTCTCCCTCCTTTCTTTCAATTGAGGCCTTCCCTTGGCCTTATACGGGTGTTATCCCTCATGCAGGCCCATGGCCCCTCTCTGTGCAAGAAGGTTCGGAGATCCCCCCTTCTCCCTCCTTTCTTCAAGAGATCCTACGAAGTTCCGATGTTAGTTGGTTGGCGATGGAGACCGGAGAGACCATTGTAAGAATTAAGATGGTTGAAAAGACTATTGACGGGCAAAATCCAAAGTCAAGTAGGAGTCTGACGACGGATAGAAGTCGACAAACGGTGGAAATTTGGCTTCGAGTAGAAGTCCGACGATGTGCATAAATTCAACGTCCGGTAGAATTCTAACGTCGGGGAGAAGTACGACGACAGGTAGAAATTCAACGTCAGGTAGAAGCCTGACGAATGTCCATCGATTGGCAATAATTCGACATCGGGTAGAAGTACTTCTTCCTGTCGATGGACTTTTGTTGATCTTCTACCAATAATTTTAGTACTAATAATTAAATTGATAACATGATGAATGGTATTTTTTATATTTAGGATGTATTAATATCTTGATTGGCAACAGGACTATTTGTATTTCATTTGCTTAAGATGTACTACTAGTAGCTTGGTTCGCAATGGAAATAATTGCGCACTTTATAAGTTTAGGATATATTTATTTACCTTTGATAGGTATTTGAGCATTCTTTTCTAAGATTATTGTTATCTTAACAATACAAACAATAAAATAGTTCATTTTATTCAATATCTCTACGAGAAAAATGGGCCCTTAATAATGTCAATAGGAATTTCTTTCTATCAAAAAATGAATAAGAATAAGACATTTTTTTCAAAAGATGTCTAAACTTTACAAAAATATAAGATGTAAGATAGAGACTTTAGAATTTACTTTAAAAATAGATAATCGTGTCAGAATAAATATAAGATGTACGATAGTTATTTGTTACATAATTTGATGGAATTTAATGCGCTCATTATTTGTTACATATTTTTTATATGTTAAAGAGACAAAATATAAGCATTATAAATTAGCTACCTGAATGTTTTTCATATAAGTGGCAATTTCTCATATAATGTATAAACTCAATTCTCAAGCCTAACAAACAGATAAAGATAATGATATTTATTGGGGTAGAATAGCAGGAGGAGCTTCAATTTCTGTAGGCATTGTCAAGGATGGTCTTCCATACTCTTCTTCCTCCTTAGGTGGATGAATCGTAACCAGATCAGGCAGAGGAGTAGGCGGCCCCTGCTTGCCCTTTGGATCCCAGTCAAGCATAATCTTCACCTTGATGCCGAGCACTCCCTAGATATGGACAAAATAATTTTAAACGGTACAAAAAATTCAAACTACAGAACATAGAATTCAAGCGGAATAACACCTACAATGATTAGTTAGTGTAAATATTTTTTGAGGATTTACATACATATACAGTTGAATTTTTATGAATAATCATATCTAACATATGAGGGTTCTTTTGAGACGGCTTTTTTACTGCTTCTTGAAACAGTTTAGTGACAGAAAGCTACTTCAAGAAGTAATAAAAAAGCTATCTCAAACGAAACGTAAATCTTTATATTTATTGATATATCATACTAGTGGCTAAGGCTTCGCTTGGGACGGCTTTCCTACTGTTTCTTAAAGCAGCTTTTTAGTATAATTTTTTATACTAAAAAACTGCTTTAAAAAGCAGTAAGAAAGCCGTCCTAAACCAAGCCTAAGGCTTCGTTCCGGACTATTTTTTACTGCTTCTTAAAGCGGCTTTTTAGTACCAAATTTTTTAACTAAAAAACTGCTTTAAGAAGCAGTAAAAAAACCGTCCCAAATGAAGCCGAAGTTGCGCCAAAATATATACAGGAAAAGGCTCACCTGTCTCAGAAGAACATGTCTCACAGCAGAATCAATGTATTCATTCACAGGCTGGCCAGAAGAAATCATATACCCATCCTTGAATTTCATGGACTTAGCACGCTGTGCCCTAAGCTTTCCACTTACGATAACCTGAAGCAAGGCAGGGAAAGGCAAAAGCTGGTAACAAATACAGCATCCCCAAGTAAAAGACCATAGAGGAAATAAAATAACAAAGGAAGAGTAAACATACTTCACATCCCTTGGCACCACTCTCCATGATAAATCTCAAAACACCATAACAGGCCCTGAAAAAAAAAAATTTTTGAAGGGCTAAGAAAACAATATAAATTAACCCCAACATAAGAATTGAATATGGATTGGGTTTAATCAATATGATCAGACAACCTATAGAAATCATTTTGAAAATCTAATTTTAGCTATGAATTTCACTAATTAAAACCATCCAACACGTGTAAGGTGAAAGGGAATCCCGAGCGGAACAGAAAGAGAGTTGGGAGAAGAAAACAGAACACAGAAAATGAGAAGAGGGAAAACTTATTATTCAAATGTAAAACAGGGATTACAGATTTATATAGAGCTGAGAGAGAAATATTTAAGATGAGCTAGAGTACAACGTAACTAATGTAAAACCTTGTTCTAATATCTTCCCTCAAATTAAGCATTCTTTGAGTGAATGGTTAATTTGGAACGAAGAAAATTAAAACGAGAGATGTTAAAAGGTTTGGTTAAAATGTCTGCGATATGATCGTGAGAAGGGATGTGCTGAATGCAGACGTTGCCGGAAACGATACAACAACAACATCAAGCCTTTATCCCACTACGTGGGGTCGGCTACATGAATCCTTTTTCTCCATTGTGTCCTATTAAAAGTCAAATTCTCGTTTAAATCTAACAAATAAAGGTCATTCCTAATATTTTCTAACCAGGTCTTTTTAGGTCTACCCCTACCTTTCTTAACAAAAGTCAAATCTAATACCTCTACTCTCCTAACCGGGTCATCGCAAGGCCGCCGTTTTATGTGACCAAACCATCTAAGGCGACTTTCTCTAATCTTATCTTCTACTGGAGCTACTCCAACCTTTTCACGTATATGCTCATTACGTATCCTATCTCTAAGGGTAAAGCCACTCATCCACCTGAGCATCCTCATCTCTGCCACACTTAACTTAGTATTATGCTTCTCTTTTAAAGGCCAACATTCAGCACCATAAAGCATTGCAGGCCTCACTACCATCTTATAGAATTTTCCCTTAAGTTTGAGGGGTACATTTCTATCACATAACAAGCCCGATGCATTCCTCCATTTCAACCATCCAACTTGAATTCTGCTGATAATATCCCCATCTATTTCACCATCACTCTGAACAATAGATCCAAGATATCTAAAACGTGTACTCTTATTAATGACTTGATCGCCCAAAGTCACAAACCCCTCACTAGGCCTATTACTACTAAAATTACACACCATATATTCCGTTTTAGATCTACTCAAGCGAAAACCTTTAGACTCTAAGGTTGACCTTCTCATATAATGTATAAACTCAATTCTCAAGCCTAACAAACAGATAAAGATAATGATATTTATTGGGGTAGAATAGCAGGAGGAGCTTCAATTTCTGTAGGCATTGTCAAGGATGGTCTTCCATACTCTTCTTCCTCCTTAGGTGGATGAATCGTAACCAGATCAGGCAGAGGAGTAGGCGGCCCCTGCTTGCCCTTTGGATCCCAGTCAAGCATAATCTTCACCTTGATGCCGAGCACTCCCTAGATATGGACAAAATAATTTTAAACGGTACAAAAAATTCAAACAACAGAACATAGAATTCAAGCGGAATAACACATACAATGATTAGTTAGTGTAAATATTTTTTGAGGATTTACATACATATACAGTTGAATTTTTATGAATAATCATATCTAACATATGAGGGTTCGTTTGAGATGGCTTTTTTACTGTTTCTTGAAACAGTTTAGTTACAAAAAGCTGCTTCAAGAAGTAATAAAAAAGCTATCTCAAACGAAGCCTAAATCTTTATATTTATTTATATATCATCCTAGTGGCTAAGGCTTCGCTTGGGACGGCTTTCCTACTATTTCTTAAAACAATTTTCTAGTACAAATTTGTTTTCTAGTACAAAACTGTTTTATTTTCCCAAATGAAGCCGAAGTTGCGTCAAAATATATACAGGAAAAGGCTCACCTGTCTCAGAAGAACATGTCTAACAGCAGAATCAATGTATTCATTCACAGGCTGGCCAGAAGAAATCATATACCCATCCTTGAATTTCATGGACTTAGCACGCTGTGCCCTAAGCTTTCCACTTACGATAACCTGAAGCAACGCAGGGGGAAAGGCAAAAGCTGGTAAGAAATACAGCATCCCAGCCCATATAGAAAATAAAATAACAAAGGAAAAGTAAACATACTTCACATCCCTTGGCACCACTCTCCATGATAAATCTCAAAACACCATAACAGGCCCTGAAAAAAAAAAATTTTTTGAAGGGCTAAGAAGACAATGTAAAATAACCCCAACATAAGAATAGCTTATGGATTGAGTTTAATCAAGATGATCAGAACCTATATAAATCATTTTAAAAATTCTAATTTTAGCTATGAATTTCACTAATTAAAACCATCCAACACATGTAAGGTAACCTCAACAAACAAGCAATTCTCTAAACCTAGAAATTGATATTAACTTATAATACAATCGCATCGATCACTTAAAATTTTGATGCTTCCAAATGATTAACCAAATTATCATAAAAAATGGAAGTGGGACATATCAATAGACTTCATAATGATAAAGATAATGAACGGTTTTGATCCAACATTTGAAGACAGAAACACCAAAAATTAAATGGGAGAAGTGATGAGGACATCAGACCTTGGTAAGTCTACCAGAAGCGTGGCCGTCGATCTACGGCCACAATCGTACCAATCTATTTTTAATTCATTATATGTATTTGTTTTATTTGCTTTCATTTTCCATTTTTACCCTTACTTATGGGTCTAGTCTTATGTAAGCTCTAGGGGTAAAACTGTTTTTTATTTTTGCCCTCATTGTACTAGTTATTTAAAGCCTCCCCCTCCTCTTGGAGAGGTTAATGAATGATTATTATGAAAATTTCAGATTTTGTGTCTTGTCTCCTATGTGTTGTGAGAGACAGCTTTGGAGAGGTTGAAATACTAGGTGAGGGCATCGCAATACCCACCAACCGCAAGAAGAGTCTGGGCTCGTGGTCGACGACATTGCTCCCCATCCTCCCTCCCTTCCCTATCCACCGCCGACCAAAGGCCCTCCTCCCACTCTCGGCCAAAACCCCCAACCGCCCCTCTCTTAAGGCCGGCCCCCATAACCCTACCTACCTCCTCTCCCACCAAACTCCACCTCGTCTCTCTTTTCTTCAAGCTTCCTCCCTCCCTTTCTGTTGCCGCCGGCCTCATTGAACCCAGCCTCACCGGCCGCCCCTTGGTGCCACCGTCCAGACCCGTCCAGTCTTCCCGCCGGCCTCAGCCCAGCCAATCACCGGCCAGCCTCCCGCCGGCCACGTCCCGGCCATCCGCCGGCCAGCCTCCCGCCAGCCGCCCCACAGCCCATCCCGCCGCCCCATTGGAATTCTGGATTGGAATTTCAATTTTCCCCTCAAGCCGTTACTTTTTTTCCTTGTTTAAATTCCTTGAATTAAGGCATACGTTTCAATTAACCCTTTTTTTAATTCACGTGCCTGACCTCTATTCCTCAATTAGAGGAAAATTGCCTATTGTGAAATCTGTTTTTATTACAGATTTTTATCCAAATCTACTAAGCCGTGAAACAGCCGTTACTAAATCCCTTCCTCTTGTCTTTCCTTGGCTCAGCCGTTCCCTGCAATGGCTCCCTCTCTCTCCTAGTCAACCCACTAACTATACAAATCAGCCATTAATTTCCCCCTTCATACCCGCCCCTCCCACTATGGAATTAATTTGAAATTGTGAATTAAACCCCTCCATATCTTACCCAAAATTCTGAATTTTCAGATTTCTACATAGAGAAACCTTTCCAACCTGGGAACCAAACCCCTTCCCTCCTTGATTTAATTTGAATGTCAAATTAAATTCCTCCATCAAACCTCCCAAATTCTGAAATTAATCCAAAATTCTTGCACACTTCCATGTGGATCCCACCATAACCAAGCTCCCATCTTCTCCCGGATGCTCCATCAACTCCCGGCAAGAATGCATGGACGTTGGATCATTAACGGCCGCCCACCGCTCCTCCAAATCCGGCTTCCTCCCCGGCGACGAGTCCTCTCGGGATTACTTGTCTATTAGTGGCATCGTTGAGTTTACTTACAATCCTCCTCCGCTAGCCCCTATTTTCGAGAGCACTGAAGGACCTCAAGGTGAATGATCTAAATTTTAAACGTGTGGCTTTAGTCGTAGCTATTTGCGTTATCAAGTTTATTTTGGTTATATTTTGTAAGACTCATGTAATTCTTAAATGTAATCACCGCCGTTAACATAATCTATCACGAAGTTTCTTGAATCCAAATTGAGAAAGCTAGATTTTATCGTTAACATTGCAAAGTTAAACTCTCATTAATCTCTAACGTGCAATTCATGTTCACCGCATGTGGTTTCACATCACAACATCAGCCCAGAATTGATCTGGAAGGTTGGAAGCGAACATAAGTGTGCGTGTGAGCTCCAAAAGATGACGGTGCTTCCTTTCTGAGAGACCGTTCTGTTCGGGTGTGTGTGGACAGCTAATTTGATGTTGTATGCCGTGGTTGTTGAGGTAGGCTGTGAACTCATTGCTAACGAACTCACCTCCTCCGTCAGAACGAAAGCATTTCGGGGTTGCAGAGAATTGGTTTTTAAGAAAGCTGCACAATATTTTAAACTTTGCAAAAGTTTCATTTTTGTGATGTCAAAAATAGATCCAAGAAAACCGTGTGTAATCGTCGATGAAGACGACATAATAACGAAAGCCATTTAACGAAGATTGCTTCGTCGGTCCCCATACATCTGAATGTATAAGTTCAAATGGATGAGAGGTCGACGAAAGACTTTTATTAAAGAACTGTTTATGGCTCTTGGCCATTTTACAAGCTTCACTATGAAAATCAGATTGTAAAGAAGAAAAATTCGAAATGCAGTGTGCTAAAGAATTCAAGATGCGGCTGTTAGGGTGTCCTAGACGGGCATGCCCGGTTGACGGAGATGTGGTAGCCGCTTGAAGAGCAGTGGGCGACATTGTTGGAGCTATGTGTAATTTGTAGATCCCGTTATGCAGACGTCCACGAAGAAGAAGTTGCTGGTCATGCGTATCCTTAATCTCGAAACCATTAGAATCAAATGTAATAGAAACGGCGTTATCGGTGGTTAATTTTGACACTGAAAGAAGATTGTGGGTGAGTGCTGGGATGTGTAGTAAATTGCATAAATGTAGCTTACGAGACGAGTATGGCAGGGGAAGAATTCCCTGCCTGTAGTTTTGTATTGGAACGGAGGAGCCATTCGCCACGGAGACGGATTCGTGTCCGAGGTATGCCGAGGGTTCGAGCCATCCGACGTCATGTGAGAGGATGCGCCGGAGTCAAGAACCCAAGATTGAGACGCATGTGGAGCCGGTTGAGCTAGAAGTGCGCGAGGTGTTGTCGTCGTGGTAGGAGCGTAGGAAAGATTACAACGGTGCCAGCAGTTGATCGCGGAATGACCCATCTTGCTGCAGATCTGACAAATTGGGCGAGTGCCGGCAGCAGGAGTTTGTGATGGAGTGGGTTCTGGATTGGTCGTGAGGCGAGAACCATTGTTTCTATATTTGTTGGGTCGCTTGTTATTTTTGTTCTGCATCTGATTGTAGGAGGTGGTGTAGAAGGCTGCCGTAGTGGCAAGTTGGTCTTTCTTGATGTCCTGGTTAATGTGGATCTCCTCACTGCAGAGGAGAGAGTAGAGGGCATCGAGATCGGCTGGAAGCGAGGATGATCGTATGTAAGTCTTGAAAGAATTGTAAGTGGCCGGAAGCCCATTGAGGATGTAAATAATTATGTCTTCGGGATCAATCTTTGTGCCGGACGCTGCTATGTTGTCGACAATATTCTTGACATGAGCTAAATATTGCTGCATAGTCTGATTGTTCATTTGGATATGATGCAACTCGTTCTTGAGTTGGATGATGCGGGATCTACTGGACGACTGCAGCCGGCGTTCAAGAACAGCCCAGACTTCATGTGCCGTGGCGGAGGTGATCACATATGTGAGAATGGCCGGAGAGATTGTAGAGAATAGCGCAGAGATAAGGTTGTTGTCGACGAGACGCCATTGAGCGTGATCGGAGGAAGTTGGATCGGATGGCGGGAGTGTTTTGCCCGTGAGATGATCAGCATAACCATTAGCGGAGAGATGTTGGAAGATCTGGGTACGCCAGATGGCGTAGTTGTCCGCGGTGAGGGTGTTCGGAATCAAGTTCTTGATGTTCGAGATGATGAACTTGAGGGTCGTCGGAAGAACGAGCTCGGTGGGAGGTCCGGCGAGCGTGGAGGAAGCGGGTGGGAGGGTGGAAGAAGACTCTTGATCTCCCATCACTGGCTCTTTGATACCATGAAAGGGAATCCCGAGCGGAACAGAGAGAGTTGGGAGAAGAAAACAGAACACATAAAATGAGAAGAGGGAAAACTTATTATTCAAATGTAAAACAGGGATTACAGATTTATATAGAGCTGAGAAAGAAATATTTAAGATGAGCTAGAGTACAACGTAACTAATGTAAAACCTTGTTCTAATATAAGGTAACCTCAATAAACAAGCAATTGCAATTCTCTAAACCTAGAAATTGGTATTAACTTATAATACAATCGCATCCATCACTTAAAATTTTGATGCATCCCATTGAATAACCAAATGATCATAAAAAATGGAAGCGGGACATATCAATAGACTTCATAATGACAAAGATAATGAACATTTTTTATCCAACATTTGAAGACAGAAACACCAAAAATTAAACGGGAGAAGTGATGAGGACATCAGACTTTGGAAAGTCTACCAGAAGCGTGGTCGTCGATCTACGGCCACAATCGCACCAATCTATTTTTAATTCATTATATGTATTTGTTTTATTTGCTTTCATTTTCCATTTTTACCCTTACTTATGGGTCTAGTCTTATGTAAGCTCTAGGGGCAAAGCTGTTTTTTATTTTTGCTCTCATTGTATTAGCTATTTAAAGCCTCCCCACCTCTTGGAGAGGTTAACGAATAATGATTATTATGAAAATTTCAGATTTTGTGTCTTGTCTCCTATGTATTGTGAGAGAGAGCTTTGGAGAGGTTGAAGTACTAGGTGAGGGCACCGCAATACCCACCAACCGCAGGAATAGTCCGGGCTTGTGGTCGATGACATTGCTCCCCATCCTCCCTCCCTTTCCTGTCCACCGCCGACCAAAGGCCCTCCTCCCACTCTCGGCCGAAACCCCAACCGCCCCTCTCTTAGGGCC